CCTCCCCTCACCCTGAGGCTGGTTTTGTCTTTAAGGGCATGGCTGAGCTCAGACAATGGGATATTAGCTGGCTTTGAGAAGCCCTTTGGATCTCCTGGGGAGCCAGAGGGGACCTGCTCTGTGGCCAGGGGCAGCTCCCACAGGGAAGCCAGCACCTGGAAAACAGTGGCTGCCACTCACAGGCCAGACCCTGGAAGGTGCAAGGATATCTTCTGGGTCTGGGTGAAATTCCCTATTAGGGCCAAGGTTCCCCCATCAGGGGAGCGGGCATAGGCACCTGGGCTGCCGAGACTGCCCCGGAGCATTGACCCCCCGCCCCATGGACCCCCTAATAGAACACTCTGCCCTCAGGTGAACCCAGGTCTGGCCTCGGTGGGCACGGAGGCTGCGCCTGTCTGTCTGAAGCCTGGGGAGGCCTTCATCACCATTAAGACCAGAGGCCGGAGCCAGAGGCCTGCTGACTCATGCAGCAGCTGCCTCCCCGTTATGTGAAGTGGAGCTCAGAGCCATTAGCCCAGAGGAGATGAAATTTACATTTTGAATTAAGTCGGATCATCAGACCCAGGAAGATTAAACCTAAGTTGGAGGGATCTGTGGCTGCAGAGGTAGGGCTCAGCCAAGCGTCCCAGACTGGCGCTTTCTTTTTATTTTTTCACCGGACTGCAGGCAAAGGGGACGGGAGGACACTGCTGCAAAGTCAGCCGGGGGCACAGGGAGCTGGAAAGTTGAGACGCTCCTTCTCTCTTCAACTTGGGCAGAAGTAAACTCTGATCTGTCCGAGTCCCTCCGTCTTACTCTCCGCTAATGACACGTGTTTACTGAGCACCCTTATGTGCCCGCACTTGGCTAAGCACTCGGGAGAAGTGAGCTATCACCCCTTCTTTATCCCCCGGCCTCTCCGGGAGGGAGGCTGAGGGAGGAAGTAGACACAGTGGTGTTAACAGCTCAAGGTTCTGAGTTACGTTAGGAGTTTTGTTTGTCTTTTAGATGTAACATTCAGAGGCCCCTCCCCCCCCCCCCCCCCCCCACATACACGCACACAATAAAGCTTTGAACCCTTCCCCATGGTCTGTGTGAGCGGCGTCACCTGGAGTTGTGCCGTGCACACCCCCCAGCCACCCCGGCGGAGTCTGCCCCTCCAAGTTGGAACAGGCCCACAGGCGGGGATGGAGACCCAATGGCAAGTGGAGTGTTTGCACCTTCCTGTGGCCACGAGTGTGTCTGACCCACGTCTACTGAGGTCTGTCCTTCCTGGAACGGGACCACGCCTCAATGGCCTCCTGGTGGTACAGAGAGACCTGTTCTCACTCAGCCCCCAACAGCTCCAGGGTGGGTCCTCTATCAACAGTTCTCCCTGCTTCATGGGTGAGCGACTCCCAGGAAGGGGTTATAACTCGAGTGGCCTTGAGTTGACTTGATCCAGCAACCTTTGCGGCTGCTGCGGGAGAGGGCACGCTCTGCAAGCAAAGGCTGCGCTCCCCGGCCGGCCACGCTTCCCCGATGGCCGCTCTCCAAGACCCATCCGTCGCTTCCCAATGAATAGCGGTTGGACGCCCTGGCTGCCCGGCATGCGGAGTTGGCCAAAGTGCTTAGAGGACCTGATCCTCCAATGAATGGGTCCCACAGGAGGCCCTGTCCCTTTCCCGGGGTCACTGAAACCTTCAAGCCTCCAGTTACCAGGAGCAATATTTCCTGCGGTGAGAACCCACAGGCTCCCGTGCTGGTCCTGGTCTGCCCCCCCGCCCCCAGACTGTAATTCTGCCTGGGTAGCTGAGTGGTTTGCATCCTTCCTCCCTCCCTCCCTCCATCCCTTTCCTTCCTTCCTTCCTTCCTTCCTTCCTTCCTTCCTTCCTTCCTTCCTTCCTTCCTTCCTTCCTTCCTTCCTTCCTTCCTTCCTTCCTTCCTTCCTTCCTTCCTTCCTTCCTTCCTTCCTTCCATTGATCCAGCCCTTTACCCTTCCATGTAGTTATCGATTCTTAGACCTTCCAACCATCCATGCCTCCACACACCTCCATCCATGTACACATCTATCCAGTGGACCATCGACCTGCTCCCAGGTGCCCGTCTAATCTCTGTGGGCCCAGTCAGCCATCAACTCAGCATCCATCCTCGGTCCACACCTCCGTCTTCCCACCAAGGCCATGCCGCTGCCGAGCTGTGAGAGCCAGGGTTTGAAGGCTTTTGGCCTGGTTTCCCCACTATCCCCTGTGTCTCCAGGACAAAGTAATGGCTGGGTTGACGGAGCAGCAAAGCTGGGCGCTCCCAGAGGTGCGGACAGACTGCCTCAAAGGTTCAGAGGACGGGCGGGGTCGGGAGGGGATGCAGAGCTCATTACATGGGGCCCCCTTTGGAAGCCAGAGCTAAAGGGCAAAGTTCAGGACTTGCAGGTGAGCAGGACCAGGGAGGGTCGAGGGCAGAGTGTGTTTGCGGTGGGTGGGGGTGGGGTGAGGGTGGCGGGTAGATGCTGTGTAGATGGTTGAAGAGGTGGAGGTGTGGCTTGGTCAGAGTAAAGGGTGTGAATGAGGGAAAGAGGAGAGAGGGCCCCGCTGGCACAGTGAGGAGAAGCCAGGCCAGGTCACTCAGCAGGGCCCCGTTCTGTTGGCACAGGGAGGCAGAAAGCTTGTTGGTGATGGAGGTACCCAGTGAACACAACTTCCACCCAGAGTAGACCCTGAAAGTGTATGCCCTCCATTTTGGGGTGCTGGTTGGCACCGTCCTTCTTAGCCTGAGGAGATGGGCCCAGAGCTGTCAGTGAGAAGAGGCCCAGCCCACCTGGCTGTCTCCGGGTCTCCATCGACGCTCACGGCGGGACTCGGCCAGCGGGGACCTGGGGCCTCCCAGTCCACGGAACAGGCTGGCGTCAGGAGCTTGACTGACTGCAGCTGGGAAACCACCGCTCGCCTGGCCGTGGTCCTTTCATAATGGCCATTGCTGATGGGCCGGGAATGAAGTGGCCGAGGAAACCAACCACCTTCCCAGGGTCTTGCCTCTGGCAGGGGACAAATGTAGGCCTCTATGGTTTCAGACAGAAGTGCTAGCCTGCTGTTATGCTAAAAACTTCAGCATCTGAAAAGTTCTGAGCTAATTTTCAGGGGAGAAATTAGATGAGAAGTGGCTTTTAAAACCCAGAGAATCTCGTGTTTAAAAACTTGGTTGCCAGGGAAACGCTTTCTCCGACACTTCTTCGACACCACATTACAAATTAAATCCCCTAAGTGAAGGGTAATGAAGGTAATAGCTGGCCCTGCTGCAGGGAGAGAATGCAGCAAGACAGTTGGGGGGAAGGCGCCCCAACTTCTTAGGGCACAGCCCCCTTAGCCCCGGGAGAGCGGGCCCATTACTGCACGTGGGGGTCTTGAAAGCGCCTCCAGAGGAGAAGGCCAGCCAGCGAGCAGCTGCGCGCCGTGTTCTGTGAAAGGCCAAGCAAGTGATTGCTGAAAGGCAATCTTAAATGTCACGCTGCTACCCTGTTGGCTTTGAATAGGTGAAGAGCTCCACGAGCCAGCTAATGAGCAGATTGCGAAGGCTGCAGTGTTCCGGCCCCCCGCGGCTGTGCTAATGTATGTGGTGCCAGGCAGAGCTGAAGCAATTGTTATCTGCCACCTTCGGGAGGGAAGCAATTTAACATTTAGTGTGTGGCCTCAGCCATCTAGCCATCCATCTGTCCATTCATCTCTCTCCATCTGTTCATTCATCTAATTGTCCATAGGAACATCCATCCACCCATCATCTATGCACCCATTAATTTAATCATCTACCCATCCATCTATCTGTCTAACTGTCCATCCCACTCTTTATCTGCCTAGCCACATGTGTGTGCATACACACACGGGGATGGATGGATGGATGGATGGATGGATGGATGGATGGATGGATGGATAAGTGGGTAGGTGGCGTATAGATGGATAGATGGATGAACAAATGGATGGTGGATGAGCACTGATCTAGGTACCCATTCACTAATCCAACCATCCATCCTCTCATTCACCCATCCACCCAGTCAGTGGATAAACATATACCGAGCAGCATATGATAGCAGCAGCTCCCACTGGCTGCGTGCTTACAGTGTGCCAAGCCCTTTCCGGGCATCACCTCCTTAGTTCCTTCTCTCACCGCTGAAACTTGTCCCCATTCCGTAGGTAAGGCAGTGGAGGAGTTCTAATAGCTAACGAGGTGGGAGCTTGGGCTTCA